GTCCAAATAAGCTCAGCCAAGGCGCTAAAGCAAGGTCTGTGCTCTTTTCAAAAAGATGAGTTGTATATCTTGAGGGAAGAGAACTAGTAACTCCTACAAATCCTCTACTTGGGGCGTCTTTGGTTAAAAATCTCGCTTGCTTATTCATTTGAAGGTTAGAGTTCTATAAATCAATGCACCTGTCATCTCGCATTCCAAATAGGGTTAATGAAAATTATAACTGGGTATCTCCATGGACTTTTAATTTCTGTCTTAGGAAAGATACTAATAGTTGTTAGTTGGCCTAACCATCATCATCACCAGGAGTGCCTTGGAGATACGTAATTTAGTTATTGCTTTATGAACTCTAGGTTCAAATTCTGGTTGTCCAGTTGCTAGCTAAGAGACCTTGTGCAAGTTACTTAACCTTTCTGCTAAGTTTCCTCATCTAAAACATGTGGGCCTTCTCCACAGAATTGTCAGGATTAAATGAGATAAGCCACATAAAGGGCTTAGACCACTGCAAAGTGACATTGTAAATCCTAAAAAAAGGTTAGCCATTATTGTTGTTATTATTTAATGGAACTATTACCTGGATGTCTGAACAGAGGCTTGACCATAGACTTGTGCTCAACCCTTCGAATTTCTGCTCAAATGTCATCTTGTTAGAATGGCCCACCCCAACCATCCCATTTAACATTAAAAGCAGCCCCACATTCTCAATAACCCTCTTTCAGATCTACTTATATTTTCTTCATAGTACTTACCTTACACAATACAATATTTTATGTAACTTATTTATTAAATATGTTTATTGTTCATCTTCTATCTTCCCCTCCCCCAAAGAAGTATGGTAAGGATAGGCATCTTTGTATTTTTTGTTCCCTAATATATCCTAAGCACCTATATAGGAGGTCCTCAAGAAAAATCTGTGGGGACAGTGCCTGTGGCTCAAAGAAGTAGGACACCAGCCCCCTATGCCAGAGGTGGCGGGTTCAAACCCAGCCCCGACCAAAAAACTGCAAAAAAAAATATCTGTGGGATGAATAAACATGAAAAATGACAGTAGTCACAGGATCAGGTCAGCTCTGCGCCAGCCTAGTCAGAAGTAGGCTGGAGCCTTTTCACAAAAGCTGATTATGTATGGTGTCTTCCCAGCTCACTGTTGTTCAGTGGCATCAGATAGGTAATTTGGAATCAGCCATGATGGGAGTATTTACACCACATAAATTGGCAAATCCTATAAACTACAGATCTTTTCTTTCAAGAGAGCTACTAAACATTTAGCAACACACACACCATTTCCCTACTATTGTGAAAAACATTACAAGAACATCTAAGTGTTAGCTGTGAAGCCAACTGATGAACTTAGCTTGTTTTGCTCCTGAGAAGCTAAACACCACTGAAATAAATTCCACGCTCTTCTGGGAGCATGTATGACAGTGTTTACCATTTTGGTTGTTGCCTAAAAATAAGAGATTAAATATTGTCATGATCAAACAATGCTTTATTATCTAGTCTAAATTTCATTTGAGACTACAGATAAATGTGGGTAGGTTGAAATAATGAAATAAAGAAATAATCCTTTAGGCTCGGTGCCTGTAGTTCAGTGGTTAGGGTGCCAGCCACATACCCTGTGGCTGGCGGGCTTGAACCTGGACCATGGCCTGCTAAACAACAACAACAACAACAAATAGCTGGGAGTTGTGGCAGGAACCTATAGTCCCAGCTACTTGGGAGGGTAAACCAGGAGAATCACTTAAGCTCACAGCACTCTGCCGAGGGCAATGTATGAGACTGTCTAATAAATAAATAAATAATCCTTTAGTTTAACTCTGTTGCTGAACTGAGTAAGACAATCATTGGCATTAGGTTTCATTATGAACAAATTAAACTCTGGGCTTGACAAGGCCCAGACACTGTCATAAGAAATGAGAAAATATAAAATATGGCTCTTGTCTTGAAGGGGTCCACAGTCTAGTTTGAGAGAAGGACACAGATCACCATTTGCTAGAGCAATGAAGATATATTCAGGATGTTTTAAGACACTGAGACACACAAATAATCAATGATTTATTTTTGCTATTTTTACTTAATTATCAACATAATATAGTGAAACATCAGCCTGATGATGACAACTTGAATATAATGGATCTTATCTTCTGCCCGCCCCAAAGGAAGTCAGGCTAATGTTTGTATCTTCTCAGAGGTGATGAAGCATGGAGGGGAGAGCCAGAAAATCGAACCCCCTCAATGTCAGCTGACAGAGAGGCAGAGAATGATTCCTTATGACCCTGACTCCATGTTCCAGGAGCAGACCAAAGAAATAAGCACCAATCCCCAGGAGATTCGCTGAAGTCCAACCAAACACAGGACTTAGAATGTCACGCTCAGGTTTCCATGGGACCGTCCTGGTTTGGACTTGTCACTCCAGCATTTGTCTAGTTTAGAATTTGTCCTGAACATAGGTGTGCCATTTTAGATGATAAGTAATTGTGCCAAGAGGTATTAAAACAGTAGATCTATGCCAACAGCTGGCACTCAATGCAGGAATGCCCTGGAATCCAAGCCTGGTCATTTCTTTAATTTTATAATAACATGACTCTATATTATACCATGTTATACTAGATCCAAAACTCCGCCTGCACCTATTGTGGAAATTCAGAATATATAATAAATGCCTTTTTGTAATTTGTTTTTCCTGCTTACTCTCTCCCGCCTGTCTCATGACAACACCTCTCTTCTCTATAAAAAAATATATATATATATTCAACCCCCTGCACTGTTTCCCCAGCACCAGAAGTGGCACCTCACAAAAGCCTGTCCAGTATCCCTATCACTAGTCCTTCCCCCGCCCATAAGCCTAAAGATGTTGGACCATTTTTTCTGGCTTTATCTAAAGAACTGCCTGAGAAGAAAACCAAGAAGATGCAAAGCAGGACTCAGGGGTACAGGACAATGAGAGAGTGTGGTGTGTGGTGTTCAGTAAATAAGCTCAGACCCGCAGAAGATACAGCCTTTAAGTCATGTTAAAAACAAAAGTAAACTTTCTCCAAGGTTTCTACATCTCCCTCAGAAACGTATGCTAAGCAAGATATAATATCCAAAAATCTGAAATCTGAAATCCTCCACCATCCAAAACCTTTTGAGCACTGCCCTAACACAAGTGGAAAATTCCACACCTGATGCCTCTGCTTTCTCAAGGTTCAATGGACACAAACTTCATTTCATGCACAAAGTTATTTTTAAAAATTGTCTAAAATTACCTTCAGGTTACATATAAGGCATAAATAAATTTCGTGTTTCAACTGAAATTTGGTGCCATCTCCAAAATATCTCCTTATGTATATGTAAATATTCCCAAATCTGAAAAACTCCAAAACACTTCTAGTCCCAAGCCTTTGAGTAAGGGGTACTCAACGTGTACTACGTAAGTCTCAGTGTGGACCCTCTCCACCCAGGGCTACTCCTTCTCATTTCAGGACTGTGTTCTCTCACCTAGACTATTGCAAAAGTCTCCTACAGCTGTGGTACCCAAACCTCAGAATTTAGAGTACTGGTTTGCGGCCTGTTGGGAACCAGGCCATACAGCAGGTGAGCAGGCAGGTGAATGAGTGAAGCTTTAGTTGTACTTACAGCTGCTCCCCATCGCTCACGTCACCACCTGAGCTCTGCCTCCTGTCACATCCCCCTGCTCTGGTCTGTGGAACAGTTGTCTTCCATGAAACGAGTCCCAGGTACCAAAAATGTTGAGGACCTCTGTAAAGGGAACATCTCCGCTGTCCAGCTCTACTTTCTTCATGCTTCCTTCTATACTCCTCAGTCACCAAAATAACTTACTCAGAATTCAAATACTATTGCTGTTCTTTCTGTAATGGGCTCTCCAGAATGCAGCGGTCCCACCCCAAATACAGCATTCTGCCCTTATCCCTTTATCTCCTCAGAACATCCTGAGCCCTCACCTACCCTACCCAGGCGGTTCTATCTCCTCACCACCATGGACCCTTCAGCCTTCCTTCAGGAAAACTGAGGGTTCTTCTGTTCAGTAAGCGTAGGCGGTGGTAGTGAAAGCAAGACTATCTTGAGCCTTTGAGAGAACAATTTATATTACATACTGGAAAATGGGGGAGGATTATGTGAGCAAAACATTTTCTTTTTGGTAGAAACTCAGTAATGTATTACTTTCAGCAGTATCATGTAACATAGAAATGTAAAGATAAATTCTACAACTGCCAGGAAAGTTAAAAGAGGTTTCCTCTGTGAATGTGAAGAGACCGCCTCTTTGTTGTTCACAAATCTTATAGAACTGTAGTTGACCCCTGAATGACAGGGGTTTGAACTGCAGTCTGCTTATACGTGGATTTTTTTTTCAACTGAACTCAAACAAAAACATAGTATTCTCAGACAGCAAAACCTGTACATACAGAAGACTAATGTTTTGTATACATGAGTTGCACACAGCTGACAGGATATCTTTGTGAAAAAGGTCTTGCTTATACTGAAGGACGACTCTATCTCAAACACTACTCATGCATCACTTAAGGGTGGGGATACGTCCTGAGAAGTATCATTAGATTTTGCCACTTGGTTCTCATGGAACGTACTTACCCAAACCTAGATGATACAGCCTACTACACACCTAGGCTACAAACCTGTACAGTATGCTACTGTACTGAATACTGCAGTCAGTATTAACACAACAGTATCTGTATATCTAAACATATGGGGGCACAGGAAAAATCTTGAATTATAATCTTATGGGACCATCACTTCACTGATCACAAAACATCATTACTCAATGTACCATATTTGTATATAATGTTTGGGGTAGGAGTGGGGGGACACAGAAGAAGAAAAGGTTTTTCATTTAAAAACAACCTCCCCTATACTCTGGCTTCTCTTCAGATTATATAACATCTTTCACCTTTCAAAAGCAACCTCTCAAAACCACTAAGTAAAAAAAAAAGTAAATACAATTTTTATTTTAAAAATAATTTTAGGCAAAGGAATATGGGTCAATATTCATTTACAAAAATAGGTTTAGGCTTTTATTATAAATACTTCTATGGTTTTAAAAATACATTCATTTTTCACATTCAAATGTCTTTAAAAGTATCCAAAGGATTCATTATTATTCTGCATTCTGTTTTTCAGAAAGTAGCTTGGAGGTACATCTGTTCCGGATTCTTTTTCTTTTTCTTTTCTTTTCAGAAGGAGTTGATTTTGTGTCCTGTGCCTTCTTCTTTTTCTTCAAACAGCTGAGAGGATTGGGGCCACTGATTTTCTTGCGCTTTTTCCTTCTTTTCTGTTCAGGGTTTTTCAGTAAACCCTGCTCCTCTTTGAGCTGCGTGATGCTCTGTTTCTCATGTCCTGACACAAGCTGACCTGACTCTACCGCTTTGACAAAGGAAATCGTTTTGGGAGAAGGCTTGTCTAACACCATAGTGTTCTGAATAATAAACATGAGAGGAACTCCAGGCTGCTTCTTTACTTTCACAGACAAATTCTGATCCTATTAAAAGAAAAAAAAGTTCAATGTTAACTAAGTTAAAGTGCCTTAAATAATTTTGTTGTTGTTTTTATTTTGAGCCCGAAGTGCAGTGACATCATCATAGTTCACTATAGTCTGGAACTCCTAGGCTCAAATGATCCTCCTGCCTCAGCCTCCAGAGTGTGTGTGTGTGTGTGGGGGGGTTTACAGGCATGCACCAACACACACACAGCTAATTTTTTGTACAGATGAGGTGTTGCTATGTTATCCAGGCTGTTCTCAAACTCCTGGCCTCAAGTGATCCTCCTGCCTCTACTCCCCAACTGCTGAGATGACGGGTATGAGCTACCATAGCTGGCTTTAAATAGATTTGTTACTCCTCTAAGGTATTCTTTCAAAAGGGTCAAAAATGCTCAATGAAGTTGAAAGAATAGGAATTAAGTGGGAATTAGATGACTCAGATTCTAAATTCAGCTTTGGCTCTATGTAATCTCACAATTCTTAAAGTATATTTAAGCAAATCTGTACCTATTTGAATTTAATTTACACTAAACTTGAGGGTCTCTCTTCTCCTGCCTCCCAGACTTTAAAAAATCTGAAACATTCCATACTGGTGCTAGAGTCTTAAACAATACAAACCATGGCTTTTTAAAAAATAGTATAAATAAGAGACATAAAAAATTTTACAAACATAGAATGCTAAGATCTTTGCTCTACTTGTCATCCCTTCAAGAACTCTACAACAAATCAACATATCTCTATGTAAAAAATTTTTAATTTTAAAAAGAAAACTTTACTAACTAAAAAGACAATCAGTATGCTTAAGGTTCTCTCTTCAAATTTTCAACTGACAATTGCTTTTACCTGCATATTAACTTAAAAGTCTATACTTTTAAAAGTCTGAACACTTTAATATCATTTCCACCTATTTTTTTCTGATTATAAACAGTTTCAAATGAAGTATAAATAGAAAATAGTTTTAAAAGTAGTATCACCTGTGTTGCCACAAAATAGTGATGAGGATTGCCGTCTTCCACCATGGAAAGCAGACATTCTGATCCACTCACTGGATTCTTGAAATGGGGACAATTTCGAACCTGGCATTTTTGTGCAATCAGTTTTGCTCCGTATAAGTCCTTTCCCAATGTTTCTAATTCTTTTAACACACATCTTAAAAAAATAAAAAGTTATTAGTGGCCCACAAATATAACAGATACATTTCAGTTGTGTACATAAAGTGTAAAAAACACACATTTTCTTTAAAAAGTAAAGTACATCATTATAGTATGAATTTGTCACACGACAGCCGTATCACCTTTAAAAGAACACCTAGAAAATGCATACACCAACTGAAGAGAACAATAAAAGATAAAAATTAATGAGTACTTACTATGTTCGAGGAAGCATGGAAATTGTTCTTTACATAAGTTCTTGCTTAATCTCAAAATAACTCCATAAAGTTTAATTTTTTTTTTTTTTTGAGACCGAGTCTCATTTTGTAGCAGGAGCTAGAGTGCTGTGAATATCAGCCTAGCTCACAGCAACTTCAAACTCCTGGGTTCATGTGATCCTCCTACTTCAGCCTCCTGAGTAGCTGAGACTACAGGCCTCTGCTACAATGCCTAGGTAATTTTTTTTTCTATTTTTAGTAGAGACAGGGTCTCACTCTTGCTCAGACTGATCTCAAACCTCTGACTCAAAGCAATCCTCTGACCTGGGCCTCTCAAAGTGATAGGATTACAAACATGAGCCACGGCGCTGAACCCAATTTTCCTTAAAATCACCCTTAATATAGAGCACCGCATTCTGAGAGATTTTAAGTAACATTCCAATGTTCAAACGACTAATAAGTGGTACAGCTGAGACAAGAATTCAAGTAGCTTGACAACAGATCTTTGCCCAGTGCAATAAGCACCTACTTCAAGTACAAACTGATACTTTCAAAATATTTTCTTCAAAATATTTTCAATTCAGAAAAGTTAAAATTCTCACATCATTAGCTTGTTTAAAAAAAAATCACGCCTTTTTTACTCTGCATTTTTATATAAATGTATATAAGCCAATGTTTCTCAATGTTTCATGTATAAACTACCTATATCAAAATGACATAGTGATATTAAACTAATTTCTAGCTCTTCTTTCATCTAAAACTCTGCACCTCTTGCAGAGGAGCCAAATGTATTAATTTGTTTAAATTTCAGATTAATAGGGGGGTACATATAATTAGGTTACATAGTTCAATTTTGTGACATTAAAGTTCAAATTGTAGTCGTATCCTTCACCCAGGAAGTCAAAAATTAATATCTGCCAGATTCATCCTTGCTTCATCTCCTGTTATTACCTCTTTTCTTTGTTGTCTTTTAAAAGGGATTTTTGTTTTGTTTAGCCATCAGGTTTGACCTCCATTTTGAGTACTGCTGACCACTTACTGAATATTTCCTATGCATGTACTTCCATCAGCTCTTCAAATTCACATCTAAAATCAAACTACTTTCCTACCTCCATATATCTCCTCCAAGACTTGCTATCTCTTTGAAATTATTATTTTTTTCAGATATCCTAGATAGAAACCAGAACTCTTATTTGACCTTTTCTTCTATCTTAGTAATGTCCCCTTGTAGAATCCTTGGTTCCTGTTTTCCTCTCCCAGGGTTAGGCTCCCATTATTCCCTGAATGGACAACCACAAAACAGGTTTGTCTGTCTTTGCTCTATTGTTTCTCCAATTTACCTCCTCACGTAGCTGCAGTTATCTTTTCTAAACGCACGTCTGATAACATTCCACTGATTTACTTCAATTAACTCCAAATATCTTCAAACCTGAATATGAGTAAACCATCTAGATCTAACTACTAGTGGTCAAGAAATACATTATAGGCTTGGCACCTGTAGCACAGTGGTTGCGGTGCCAGCTACATACACCATAGCTGGTGGGTTCGAACCTAGCCTGGGCCAGCTAAAACAATAACAACTGCAACAAAAAAGTACCCAGGTGTTGTGGTGGGCACCAATTAGTCCCAGCTACTTGGGAGGCTGAGGCAAGAGAATTGCTTAAGCCCAAGAGTTTGAGGTTGCTGTGAGCTGTGACACCACGGCACTCTACCAAGGGTGACATAGTGACACTCTGTCTCAAAAAAAAAAAAAAATGCTACAGCAGCTGTTCCCTGATTCATCTCTCCAGTCTAAATTCCCAGTTGTCCCAAATTCAACCTGTTTTAGTCTTTCGCCCCTCCTCATCTCTCAGCTGCTTATAATACAGAATCACTCAGCACCTTTGACATCTTAACAGCGGTTACTCATGAGAATAGTGTTGAGTCACTTTTTTTTTGCTTTTTTAAAGTAAATATTCTGCATTTTAAAAAACCTACTATATTTCTTAATAATTCTTTACCTTCTCCCTAGCTTCATTTCCTAATATGCTGAAACCTCTTCATAACTCCATCCCGTTTTTTCAAGAGGTCTCCACAACAGGGAACGTTCACTATTTTCTGTCATTTAACATAGTCCTTCCCCTTAGAATGGCTGAACATGTGAATGGAGTCAAATGTTCTCTCCTTCCACCTTCCCATCCCCACAAGGTTCCGTCCTAAGTATTCTCACACGTTGATGAAGTGAGGAAACATTACACTTAGAGTGGAAACAGCGATTGGAGATTGACTTGCGCACTTTCCAGTGAGTTTGTCCTGTTCACCATAGCATCCCCAGTGGCTGGAGCAATGCTTGGCATATGGCTGATACTTCATAAAGACAGTAGAATAAACAAACGACCTTAAGCAAATTCCTAAATCCTGGAAATCAAAGAAGCTAACTCATAGGACAGTTGTGAAGCTTGAAAATCTTTGGTGTAACTAGGAATAGCAACGCCCATTGAAAGAGGAGTGAGTTTTAGATACCGAAAAAAATGCTCTAGCACCCAATACTCATTTGATCTTACAGAAATTTGTAAGCAGTTGTGATGTCTAGTTTACAAATTAGGAATCCAAAGTTCAGAGAGGTTAAATCGAAATCACAGAACTGGCAGGCCTAGGAACAAGATTCGAAGACAAGTCTCTCTCACTAGAGGTATCCCTGCTCCCCAGGTTAAGGACCTGTGACATCTGCAGGGCACTGCCCGTTCAGCCTACATGGTAGGTATTGGGCAGACCACCGTAGCGCCCCCTACTCCTCGCGGGGGTGGCGCTTCGCTCCTCGAGGGCTCGCAATAGATGGCTCCGGGCGAAGGCGTAGCCGCCGCCACCCCGCCCCGAGCCTCCTCCCAGCCCACCGGGCCCACCTGGTGGTGCACAGCTGCGTCTCCCCCATCAGGTAGCGCGGGAATTGCTCCCGCAGCTGGATGCGGCCTCGCAGCGCCGCCTGACAGAAGGTGCCGTCCAGCAGGATCTGGTATGGCTCGCGGACTCCGAAATTGTTGCGGAAGAAGCCAAGATGTTTCTTGGCGTGTTTCTGCCTGGTGATTTTCATACTTACTCCAACCGAGGCCACCCGGCCAGGAAGTGACAGCAAACGTCCTACCCACTCCCTAGCACCTGCAAGGGCAGCTTCTCTCGGAAATGTAGAGCCTTTGGCCCGGAAGCAAACGCCCCTATCCTTCCCCACCCCGGGCCTGCCCCCTGGCTTACGTCACGCCCGGAGAGCGCGCGCTTTGACCACCGTGCTCGCGCTTAAAGGGGTGGGTGCCCGGGGCGGAGCTTGTGCCTACACAGGAAAACCGCCAGGGCGCGCGATGCCGCGCCGGGAGCACCCCGGCAGCCTCCCGCCAGGTTACAAGAAAAAGTGCGGGAGGTGGTTAGTATGTTACCTGGCACGTAGCAAAACTATGAAAGCTTGGCAGTACAATAATAATCAGTGACAATATTGTATCTTAATATGTTCCAGGCACTGTCCTGAGTGATTTACCCTACATCATTCCCTTTAATGTTTATATTTCCCAAGCGAGGGAAGGAAAGGGGCCAACATATATTGGACAACATGAATGGGAGGTTTGTGCTGGCTGCCTTCCCATAAAGAAGTTGTCAGGTGGGCCAAGCTAACTCCATCTTAGATCTGAAAAAAGCATTCTGTGAGACTCTGTTATAGGCAAACATAACTCAGATAAGAGAGACATGTCACAGGCTTCTTGCCTCTGTGCACTGGTCCAGTTACAAACCTGTAAGAAATATGCTTCTCCCGCAAGCCTCTGACACCCTGATAAGAAGAACCAGCCAGGAGAATCCCCGTAATGAGCTGCATGTCCTTGGCGCGCTGATAAGAAAGACTTGTCTGTAAAGCTGGCTGCTCGTCAGCTGCCATAAAAGATCTGCCTCCCTCCCTAAGGATGCTGACATCTCTCATCCCGCTTGCACTCAAGCACAAAATAAAATTTCCTGCACATTTGTTACATTGGGTCCTGTGTATTTTGATCCAGGCATGTTTACTAAGGGCAAGTGGTTTGTTAGTGCCTGGAACCCAGTTGGCCCGCCTGAAGTTCAGATGGTTTTGCTACGTGTGTCCCGTGGGAACTAATGCCGCACAGGAGCTATGTCAGGGCCAGGGGTCCCATGATGTTGCAGTTCCTCCTCCCCTAAAAACATCCTAAATCATTCATACAAGTGTGTTGGATGAACTCTCAATAGCTTCGTTTTCCCAGAGTCAGAATCCCTGAATTTGACCTCTGATTCTGTCACTAACCCAAGCGATTTGACCCTGGGTAACTCCCCGAGGGAGATGGATTCAGCTTCTTCACTGTAAAACTGTAACCAGTTCCATGAACCTTATGTGTGTTTTATAATCCTCTCCCTTAACTACTTGACCCTTTGTGTAGTTTCCCAGAAATGATAGACTCAAGCGATGCTTCTGCCTTGGCTTTACAAAGTGCTGAGACTGTAGGCGGGAGCTATTATATCCAGCCTGAAATGATGGATTTTCTACAAGACAAAGAAGTTAAGATTCTGAAAACCTCAGGGCAGACTTCGTAATGCCAAGAACCATCATCCCTCGCAACCTGACCCCAATGCATGTAGCCTAAGATACACCAAGACTAGGGTGACCAGATTTTAACATTTGTAAAGCGGTACAACATGGGGGGGGAGGCGGCGGGGGGTGGGGTGCAGGGCCTGGGACGAGGCAGGGCAGGCCCTGACAACAATGCAAACTTTGATAAACAGTTCTCGATAATCACTTATTTGTTATTATTACAGTTTAACATAAAATTAACAAAAATAATATAAAACTCATATTCTGGCGAAATAGCCACATGGCAGCCGAAAACCATATATTCCCTTCCTGTTCTCCTGCCCTTTCGTGCATTCTTTCCAAAAATCGGGACTTTTTTAAAACTCAACGGAATGCAGGACAAATTGTTCAAAAGCGGGAATGGTCCGCCAAAAGCGGGATGTCTGATCACCCTAACCAAGACTTGTCCTAAGGCACACGTCGCCTCCTTTAAAAGCCTTGGATTTTCCTTAGTCAGAGAGCGGGATTTGGATTGGAGACAGCTTTCCCCATTCTCCCTGCGAGGCGCTTGTCATATTAAAATTTTATTTCTACTAGGTCCGGTCGAAAATGGCGCTGGGGCGTGCCCAAGCTTTCTCCGCGGGCTGGGTCAGCTGGAGTGGCCTTTGTTCAATGACGCCTGTCAGAGGAGGGCTCAGCTCGCGCGTGGAAGGGCCTTATCTGTTTGGTGGAGCTCCTGGCGGGCAGGGTGAACATGCTGAATTATCTTCTTTAAGCCACACCAAGGAGGGCTTGAGAGATCCTAGTTCACCACCTACCCGCTTTGGTAACCATACTCTTAGTACACAGCCCTCATGAGAATCTGCTTCCAACTGGCTGTGAAGATGAACAAAAAGAACTTGGATCATTACAAACTGCGGCCCACGGCATTGGTTTGGACCATTACTCCGCACACAGACCAGAAAAAGTGTACAGGGACCTTAAACTCACCTTCTTATATGGATTACTAGTACCAATCTTCCATCCCTTTTGCTTGTGGCAGGAGATGGCTTAAATAAATTAAGTTAAACTTTAAAAAAAATTCCTTTCTTCCATGGCAATCCTCATTGTCTCAATAATTGGATTTTTGTGCGACATGTAACTAGACCTAGGAAAAAAACATCTGTGGTTTCAACAATAAAACTGTTTGCTTGTCTACATTAGTTTTAAGGACTCTTCTGTCTGTAGTTTTTGACGTAGGAACACTACACTACCGGGCTAGTAACAGAAAGGTACAACGCTGACTAAAGGTTTAGAAATTACCTCTCAACTTGATTAATGAAGAGAGTGAATCAGAAAATTTTGAGTGCCCCAGTGGCTAACTGCCGAGTACTCAATTTAATTCAAGGCAAAATAATCAAAGGAATGGGGAATATGGAATTTTGCACTTTTGTCCTGGCCTGGAATCTGTCCCAGATCCAGTTTTGGCTGAAGATTGAAAGAACCAACACAGAAAAATGATTTACAACGTGATTGAAATGTATTGTTTGCATATGGGGTTTTATTTCAATATATAGCTTTATGAAATTGGAACTCAAATCTTCTATGTTAACCCTGACCTGAGTCCCAGCACATCACTTAGCTGGCTGCTTTCATTTAACTGAAAATAAATTTAAGAATTGGAAGCCATGAGAAGTCAGGGAAGAGTTGGATTCATAGTCCTTCAATATAAATGGTAACCACTTTTCAATTTGAATCCTCCCTTTATCCTTATATGCAAGTTCTCCACCTGGGCTCTACTTCCACCACAGCGAGAGAAATAAGACCACCCCCACCTTGAAAAACAGTTAAAAGATTTTGAAAAATAGGTTCACAGATCCATCTACCAGCTCCTTGTGCTACTTTTCAGTACTAAGAAAATTCTTATGCAACCCTGAGGGTTTGAGACGTATTCTAGTTTGTGGTCATTGTTTTTTAATTTATTAAACTATGACACAACTTTTTTCAAGCTCTAGGTTAGTGCCAGTTTTCATGCCTACCTCTTTTACAAAAAACACAAAGATAACTTATAATGGTGATTATCAAATTTATTTATTTAAGACAGAGTCTCACTTGGTCACCCTCTGTAGAGCACGGTGACATCATAGCTCACAGCAACCTCAAACTCTTGGGCTCAAGTGATCCTCTTGCCTCAGCCTCCTGAGTTCTGCAGTCCAGGGGCTACAGGTCCCTGCCACACCCCCTGGCTATTTTTAGAGATGGAGTCTCACTCTTGTTCAGGCTGGTCTCCAACTCCTGGGTTCAGACAATCCCTCTGCCTCAGCCTCCCAGAGTGCTAGACATGAGCCACCCTGCCTGGCCACAGTTATCAAATTAAACAGAGTTTTCTATTCAGCAGTATATCTCAAAACATGGTCCTGGTACATGCAAATGAAATTCTTAGTACAAACCACTATTTATCCAATAGGATAAATTCATTAGTGGTCCACTTAGTACACTTTTGTTCGGCTGCCAAATGATCTATCCAGTCATGGAAAATCAATATTTGGCCACAACCAAGTGAGAAGCCAAATATTGCCATTATTGGATAAACTGTTAGATACAAGTTTAAATCTCAATTTTTATTTTTCATAATATTGTAATTTCATTATTAAGATCTTTAGTAGTCATTGAAAAAAAATTTTTTTACTGTATAGTACAGAAACAATAATAATAAAAAATAATAGCATTGCTAGCTGTTAGATTTTTTTCTCAGGCCACTACTCTGCATATTTTCCATACCAAGTAGACATTCATATTCAGCTGAGGTTGGTAGGGGATTCATTTATTTTTCTTTTTTTTTATGTTCTTCTTTTCATTATGTCTGGATTAAATACAATTTTATAATATTATGTTGTTCTACATGATTTTGAAGTTTTTTCTTCATGAAATTTTGATGAAGCCAAGTTGACACGAGAATGATTTATTCTTGAAAGGTGTGACTAATTCCCAAATAGGACTTTTTTCATGAAAAATTTATGGGCTACATGGAATTTAATGGGTAAACATTAAATATGATTCATAAAGGTTATTTTGTTTAATTTCATCCATGTTAGTATAATTTCATTTCATCAATGTTATACCATGCAGCAATCTTTTGAAATATTATTCTGCCTTATATTCATATTTAAATATTTATAAACATTTGTTAACATTCATTGGCTCGAAAAGAATACAATGTTCTTCCTAAATTATCTAGCTAACGCACCCGGTAAATAAATTATTTAGCTAAATAAATATTTTAAAGCAACTTAGGTAAACTGCTTCATATTGAGGTCCTATTAAGTTCTTCCCTTAGATCTTCTAGAATGTCTCCATCATGGACTCAGACTGTGAAATTTCATATATGTCAGAATGTGCTATGAAGTTCAGATCTGGAGGCTGTCACATTTTTTAAAACAATTTTTATCTTTTCCAAATTATAAAAATAATACATGCCTTTAATAACAAGTGGACCAACACAAAGACATTCATTCCTACTTCCCTTACTTGTATATTTTTTAAGTAGATGGATAAGAGAAATGTTTATTGCCAGGTGCATAGGGAGAATCACTGGAGTGATTACTCCCCCTTGCCTATATTAACAACCTATGTGTA